CTGAAGAGTTAATTTTCTGTCCCACTAACATTGCTGAATAGAATTGCAATTTTCTACTCCATCCGTCTGCCTTTGGTCGCATCAGGTGATGCACAAGAGACATTTTTAGCAACTAATATATTTGCTATTTTGAAGAATTGTCATGTAGCAAAGGTCTTTTCCTCAAAAGTGCTGTGCTGCAAACCTGCTGCATGAACACTTTCCCCCAGAGCTTTTGTTTCTCACTCTCGGATAGGATGGAGATCGTATCTCAGCAACTCTAGTTCACAGTCTCGTCCCGCATGAGACCTTTATTACAGCAGCCCAGATCATTAAGCAGCAGACCAGCACTGTGCTCCATCATTTCAGCCGTGTGTTTCACTTCCAAGCTCATTTATCACTACACACACACACACACACACACACGGCAAAGTCATGTGAGTGAGTATGTGACTGAACATGCAAAGCAAGAACGGCAACAGTATGTTCAAAATATAGTATTGCACAGTGTATACTGTATTTGCAATGTGTAAAAATAAAGGTCACATGACCTCATTACATTGATTCAGCAAGTTACATTTTGCATTTTTTTTATTACAAAATGTATTAGCTTTTGGCACAAAATAGTCTAGACAGAGATGTCAAAAATCATTGTTAATATCGCTTTCTGGTTTATGCTAGAAATATCGCTAGAAATACACTGCAAAAAATTATCTTCCGAAGTTGTAAAGTACATTTCAGTACATTTTGAGAACATTTTAGAAAATCTAAGTAAAAATTTCACATTTAATTCAACGTGTTCCTGTTTCTTTGTAATTGTCTGTGAAATTTACTAGCAATTTCTGAGTGAAAATTGTTTCTACACCATTTTTGTCCTGTGTAGTAGATCAAGTGTCTGTTTCCAGCATTAAATTTGAAAAAAAAAAAAAAAAAATGCAAAAAGGTAATTGCGACTTTTATTCTTGTAATTCTGAGTTTATATCTCACAGTTATGACTTTTTCTCTCACAATTCTAAGAGACAAGTGAGACTCACAATTTTCTCTTGCATTTCCATGTTGACATCTTGTAATTCTGAGTTTACATTTTGCAATTGTCTTTTTTTTTCTCAGAATTCTGCATTTACGTCTTGCAATTCTGTTTTTTGTTTCTGCCATAGAATAAAAAAGGTAAATGTGATTTTATCTCACAATTCTCACTTTTTCGCAATTGCCATTTCAACTTTTCTTCTCAGAATTGCACGTTTACATCTTAATTCTGAGTTTATACAGTATGTCGCAATTCTGACTTTATATCTCACAATTCTGAGATATGAAGTCAGAATTGTGAGATAAAAAGTTGAAATTAACTTATAATTTTTTTATTCCGTGATGAGCACAAGCTTCCACAAGTCTCTGTCTTTGGTCGTTCAGTGCACATATTGACAGATGCATACAGAATACTTGCATACAAACAAAATTAAATACCAATGCATACTGCATACTACAGAAATCTTATGAGTTGGGGGTGAGATGCATGTGTGTTTTAACACTGTTCTGGAGTGACAGCAGATGGCGAGCTTATGTAATTACGTGTGGGCGAGAGCAACCAACAGCAACGTGTTTGAATTCAAGACCCCCAGATCACGTCATTCAAACACACACACACACACACACACTGCATGAAAATGTGTGGTGATTATACTAATTACATATGAGACCACTTTAGAAGCACACACACACAGACACACACACACAGCTGTCAATCTAAAGTGCCTTCACACTCAAAGCTCCTCCACATGAGCATATCATGTAATGCTGTTGCATTTGTCTAACAGGCTGCTTCCTGTTTCATCTGTGTAATTTTACGTTTACTATGTGCTCATCTGTAATAAGCAGAACGTCACTGACTGATAATAATGGCTTTGCTACCACACTACTATTTCTGCAGTGCACATACACTGACAGAAAATAAATGTCATTTTTAAATTGACTTTTTATCTAATCTAAAATGTGTAAATTAGTACCTTAAACTTGTCATATGCACTCTTACTGTACTACTATGAATCTTTGGTACCTCTTTACTTGAAGGCTTTATATTTAATGCATTATAAAACTATTTTTAATGCATTAATTATGCCTTGTAATGCACATTATCATGCATTGAACGCGTAATGCATTATAATTCTAGCCACACTTATAATAGATTATATTGATTCATTCATTCATTACTCCATTGACAATATAATGCATTAAAACACATGACATGAGAATCTAACACATTTTAACTTTGGTTACAGTAATTTATGAAAATATATAATACATTACAATGTACATTATGAATACTTACATAATGAATTATTCATAAATGCTTTAAGTAAAGAGTTGCTGAAACTTTTAGGGGTAAACAAGGTACAAATATGTCCATTTGTGTGTACTGCCCCAGTGACAATCTGTTTTAACCCTAAATACAGAAACTTGCTTTGTATCTGCATGAATGTAAAAGTACTACATTTACCAAAATGTGCAGTATAGAATGGAGCACACTGCATTGGGAGTCCCACAATGCAATGTATATAGCTTAAACTCCTATTTTAATGAATGAAACAGAGACGACATCTATTTCATCTTATTATTTGGTCCAACTGCCAAAGGTTAAGATGTTTGAAAATGCTAAATAATCTAAACGAGCAAGATAATGTCATATGACAACAATGTTGCATTACACTCCTAAAAATAAAGGTTCTTTATTGGTATTGATGGTGAAGAACCTTCAACATCCATGAAACTTTCTATGGTTCTGTCTAGCAGAAAAAATGTTCTTTAGATTAAGAAAATGTTTTTTTGAAGAACTGTTTACTGAAAGGTTCTCTGGGGAAACAAAAATGGTTCTTTTATGGCATCACTGTGAAAACTCCCTTTATTTCAGTGCACTATGCAAGTACTCTGCAATATCTCCTTTTCATTTCCCACTTCACAAGCGTAACAGCGACAGGAAACTGCCCTGAAATCATCTTCTCATTAGTGTCAGCGATACAGCAATGATTGAAAACAATTCTGGCCAGATGAAACCCTGGTGTCGCACCAGGACTCCAAATAAAACAGCTGTTTTAAAATGGACGCACTCGAACTCTCACTTCCTTCTGTTTCTCGCTGTCTTCACACACACACACACACACTGGCAGTGCTGTACATCTAAATAGCCCGAGTGACTAATTCCTGTGCATTTCAGTGTTCTGCGCTGTCTATTCTGGGCTTTTAAGATGGAGTGTGTGAATCATAGTCGTTGTGGTAATTGCTCCTCTTTGTCTTCCCCCACCCCGCTCCGTTCTGATTGGTTAATGAGGCTCGTTAAATGCACCAGGTTGTTCGTTCAGTAGAAGAGACAGCTGAGCTCAGAGGGGAACGTCAGATGGCCTTTTCTGTCTTAAAAAGCTCTAAATTTAATCAGCCAATAGCATTTAGGAAAAAATAACACAGGCACTGTTTGTTGGCTCCATATATTTAGTTGCTTACTGCATCATTAGATGTTTAAACCACTAATGGGGCAAGGAAGTTTTCACTCATACAGCAGTGGGGCACATTACTGTTCCCAAAGGTCAAAATGTGTGTTATGCTGCTTACAGTCTTAATGATTTAGTGTGTGTGTGTGTGTGTGCGTGTGTGCTTGCAAAAGCTACATTCTCCAGCCTGGCAATTATATGTTCTTTTTTATCGTACTGAAAATCTGTTGGGTTTTTCCACACTGTTTTTCAACCATCAGGTGCTGAAACTTGCATGTGAATGTTCCTGGAACGGTTCAACGTTCAAAGCACATGAATGTTTAATGAGGCAAGCATTGACAAGTTTGTGATTGATTCTCGCTGGCTTCAGTAGAAACTGCAACATTAGTAAGTTTAAATTGAATTGTGAGAATGAGAGTCTGACCCTTACAGATGAAACTTTACTCCGCCTCAGTCCATCCAAGATGTAGATGAGTTTGTTTCTTTATCAGATTTGGAGAAATGTAGCATTACATCACTTGTTCACCAATGGATCCTCTGCAGTGAATGGGTGAATTCACTGGAAGAAGCATTATTATGGATTATGGAAGCAACGGTTTCTTTATTATGATTTTTTTCTTTATAAATACGCAGCTTTTCACTTCTCCAGATGTTAACTGATGGACTGGAGTGGTATGGATTACTTGTGGATTATTGTGATGTTTTTATCAGCTGTTTGGACTCTCATTCTGACGGCACCCATTCACTGCAGAAGGATCCATTGGTGAGCAAGTGACGTAATGTTACATTTCTCCTCATGTGCTCTGATGAAGAAAAACTCATCTACATCTTGGATGGCCTGAGGGTGAATGCATTTTCAATTTTCATTTTTGGGTTAACTGTTCCTTGAAGTGTAATGTGAAACGATATTATGAATACTGCAACTTAATGCTCTAACACAAAATGTTGTGTAACTTATGCATAAAATGGTAACAGCGACCTACTGTAAAAGAGCAAAATGTTTAAGCAAAGTGCTGAAACTTTCATTTACAATCCTCAAAACAAGTCAGAAGTGAAATGAATAAATCCTCACTAGCACGTATTTCTGCTTTGCTGATAAAGCAGTTATAAAATCCCCACAGAAGTGTAACAGGCCATGACTCCAAATTTTCACTTCACTAAAGATCTGTCTCCAAGGGATCGCATGTTTCTAATGCAGTGATAGGCCTACTGTGGAGACACATTTGTTGAAAACATCTTTAAAATTTAAATTCAACATAACACAGCATTTGCAATGCACTCTAATGTATTTCTGATTTAAACCATGATTGTTGTTTTTGTAGCACGTCGGCTACATTGTTCTGATTGAGAAATGTGTCACTGTAAATAATGTGTGCATGACCAAATATGTTTGTCTGTTCGTGTGATGAATGGGTTTGTGATCAATGCATGTACTTATGTGATTGAGGTGATTATTGTGTGTGATAGAATCAAATGCGCATGTTTGCATGATGAATGTGTTTTTGTCGGTGTGATAGTATTACTTCTGCGCGCGCACTGGCATGTCATGTGACTCGTGTCATATGATCGTCGCTGTATAAGTTCAGTAGCACACGGCTGGTCAACAGTTTCAGTGTCGCAGGTGCGCGGAAGGACGAGAGGGACACGCGTTTGTATCCTTGCGTCTGGTCAGCTATCACTCGTTATATATCGCTGTCTGTCTGCTGTCGAGCCGTCGTAAGGATGCGTGCGCTCGCCGTCATGGTTTTGTTGGCGTTCATCGGCGGGTCTGCGGCCGACACTCCGGCCAACTGCACCTATGAGGACCTGCTGGGCACCTGGATCTTCAGCGTGTATGATGTGGGTCACGATCGAACCATCAACTGCTCCAGCACAGGTCAGACCAGATCACACTATCTGAATCGGTGCGCTTTTGTCTTCCACACGGAAGTTCAGTTTTACTTTCAGTTTCAGTTTCATGCTGAGGTCTTCAGCTGAACATCTGTGCCTCTTTTTAATATAATAGACCCAATTATAGGTGTTCTACTAAAATGATGCGTTAAGGATGGCACACAGATGTACTTTTTGGATACTCTTAATAACACTGGTACTGTGGTAGTACCATGATGGTACAATTATTAGCATTGCTATTATACTTTGTTTGCTATTTACCATGTTCGTATACCATAGTATTTCCAAGTTACTCCAAGTCAAAAAAAACATGATTGTAGTAGTCATAGTAGTATTTTGTTGGTGTCAGTCCATTAGAGCATATTTTTTCCTAATTAACAACATTATGACTAATGCTGTCTGAGAGTACCACAGTAAACTTGATTGTTATTTTTGATAAATATTGTATGTAGTGTTTCCTTTCCCCATTGTATATGTTGGGTGTGTTTTAAAACCTAGTAAACTGCCCAGAAATGTTGTCTATGAAGGCATCAAAGGTGCATTTGAACATTCAAAAGCAGCTTCGTTAGTATACTTTGACATTTACCATGCTACTGACTGAGCGATTACCGTGTTCATGTGCCATGGTATTTCCAAGTTACTCCAAAGTTATACCATGTCAAAAACATGGTTGTATGATATTAATGTAGTGTTTTTGTTAATGTCAGTTAATTGGAGCATGTTTATCTTAATTAACAATACTATATTACTACTTTAATTCTGACTGAGAATACAAAAGTGTGAACTTAATTAATTTTTGGTTTATATTGTGTGTATATAGTTTCTTTTTCCTATTGTAGATGTTGGCTTTGTTTTAAAAACCGAGTGAACTGCCTTCATAGGCAGCATTTGTGGGCATCATAGGTGCATCTGAACATTCAAAAGCACATATGATGTACAGAATGCTATATATAGGCAGGTATTGAATTGCAGCCATTGTGTTTGCATATCACCAAAGCTACTTCCTTAAGTTTCTAAATTAAACTCTGTTGACTTTTAAACAGGAAAGTCAGTGAAAACGGTGACCGTGGACCTGCAGAAGCTGTCTGTAGCTGTGGATGATCTCGGTCACACTGGCTTCTTCACTCTCATCTATAACCAGGGCTTTGAAGTGGTGATCAATGACTACAAGTGGTTTGGGTTTTTCAAGGTAAGAATGATGAGACCCTTTTAGTCTCTGTAACAGCACATGACTGATCAGATGACTGTGGTTTCATAACAGAAGGGAAATTCTGACATCAGCTCTTTTGTGTTTCTGTTCTTTATTGTACTGGTGTCTAGCTCAATAAATGTGGGATGATTTTACACATGCAATCATTTTTTTTTTTTTTTTGTGAGATCGTGTGTTATTTTAGTATTAATACTATTACAGTATTTAGTAGTATTTGGAATTGGTGTGTTTTTTTTTTTTTTGCTTTTTATGTCATTTTAGTACTTCAACTTAAACTTATTACAGTAGTTTCCAAGGCAACTTTTTAAACAAGTGTTTTATTTCATCTACCAAAAACAAGAAAATGTTGATTTATTTTAGTTAACAATAACAACACAGCATTCAAACAATAAGAAATCAACAAAATATGAAGACTTTGCCCTTCATATACATTTTTATGAACAATTTTAGAATTAGACTATTTATGTAGTTTTGCATAACCCTAGTATTAAAAGGATCACATGATGTTGTTTGGTTATCACATAAAATGCTTAAATCTATTCATAATAATAAATGTGCTTTAACAGTAAAGTTATTGCATTGAGTATTATTTCTTTTTCTCTGTGTGTGTCTAGTATTCTCAGCAGGGTTCAGAGGTGACCAGTTACTGCGATCAGACGCTGCCCGGTTGGGTTCATGATGTTTTGGGGAATAACTGGGGCTGTTTCACTGGGAAGAAAGTGCAGCCCATCCCACCCCGAATCAACCACAATCACATGCTTGGATTCCAACACAAACTGTAAGTGTGTCAGCAGTTTTTGTTTCTTACTTGTGAATCGATTGTCCTTTAATTGCTCTCTATATCTTGATAAGATCTCATGTGATTTCATCAACCTTGAGTGATTGATGCATTTATTGGGTTTCATGATAACAAACCTTTGATCTCTAGGCTCATGAAGCTGCCATACACAAACAACATGGGGTTTGTGAATCAAATAAACTTAGTTCAGAAGTCTTGGAAAGCGACAACATACAGTCTCCATGAGACCCTCACCATACAGGAGATGCTGAGAAGATCAGGAGGGCATGCCTCTCGTATACCACGGTACGCTCACTTTAACTGGTGCAGTCAGGGCTTTTGTGAAAAATAAATAACTGATGCCTTTAAAATAGAGTTATTAGAGTTCATAAATGTCTGGTGTGATTTAGTTGGAAGCATTTTACTGTAAAAGTAGTTAACTGCATAGGTGATTCTTCTTCTGCAGAATATTGTGTACTGAATATTAAGAGCAGCAACATTTCATTTGGAAGATAAATGGTCATCTGCAATTTCATGTCAGTTTCTCTCTCGCTCTCTCTCTCAGACGTGTCAGGCCTGTGATGGTTTCTGCAGACAGTAAGATGGCAGCCGGTCTTCCAGAACACTGGGACTGGAGAGACGTGAACGGACTCAATTATGTTAGCCCTGTCCGCAACCAAGGTGTGTGTGTGTTGAGAGTAAGAGAAAATGCTGCAATCAAATGGTTGCTTCAATCTGTCCTGTATTGCTCCGAGTTGAGCAAGTGATGTATATCTGCAGTCGAGTCCTGGGAATAGCTTCAATATGCTGCTATTGATTGATTGATTGTTTTCACTCTAATCCAGGAAGTGTGTGTTATTGAATGATGTAGCTGTTCTTGCTATAGAACAGAGCCTGATAAATGATGCTAGAAACACTACCAGAAAATTACAAGCTTTTTATCTAGTCTGTGTTTGGCTATTGTTTATTTTTACAGAAATTTCCCCAACAAACCTAATACAATACTTTTGTTTGTATAAGTGTGTAATAATAATAATAATAATAATAATAATAATAATTATGTAGTAGTAGTAATAATAATAATAATTGTGAAGTAAGGCTTCTGGAGAGGAGCCCATGGATATTTAATATTTAAACTTTTAATATTTACAATTTAAATTACGGAGTGTCTATTTACACCAAGTGCAAATAGCCTGCCTTGTTGGCAGAGGCTATTTACACTAGCTCCGCCCACCAACGTGTGATTGGACTAGTCAACATTACAAAAGACAGTTGTCAGCTGCAGTGGTGCAGATGGTAAAACATGTCGTATTCATTTTGACGCGATCGACCCGGGTACGAATACGCCTTTTGCCAAACTTTTTTTTCTCCCTTTTCAAATTTCACATCACATCAGAAACGCATTTATTTTCAACGAACATGAAGGAAATAATCAAAAAGTTGAAAGTATCTGGTAGGGTTAGGGTAGGTGTAGGGAGGGCTTTTGTCCCAATAAGGTGGCATCCATTTAATAATTTGAATTCAAATTAAAACTTAAACTCAATAAGTTATTGCATACTGTTTTATAATGTACTACAATACTGAGGTGCAGATAATTGCCACTATTTGCAATAAGTAGTATAAATAGCAGAAAATCCTGCTATTTTAACAGTGTAAATAGAATCTATAGCTATTTGCACTTCGTGTAAATAGCATCTATCGCTAAGAAAATATGCTATTTTCACTTAGTGCAAATAGCCGCTGCCTTTAAATTATACATAAGCCAGAGTGTTTTTTTTTTTTTCTTTTTCCCAGATTCCTTTAGACCATTTTTGCTATTGGTATTATAGAATTTAGTGATTATTTTGATTTGGCTTTTTATATTTTTAGTTTAAATTTTATTTGTAGTTTTAGTAACTCGTGTGCTTTTTTTTTTTTTTCATTTTTATTAGTTGCGAGTTTTGTTTTTCTTTTATCTCAGTGTTTGGCATTTACTGTAATTCAAATTGAAGGAGAGTTATAAATGGTGCCTTGACACTGAAATAAGTGAAAGTTTTTCATGTAGTAATTTATTTTCCTTTTTTTTTTTATTTATTTTTTTTTATATTTTTCATTAAGCCTTTTTAATTACCGCAAATGTGGTGGCGTTTTTAAATTAACAATAATGCTGAGTTAAAGCAATAAAATCAACAGAATGGACTTTTTTTTTTTAATGCCACTGATCTTTTTTGATTTTCGCTTTGTCTTGTTGGGTCATTACTAGTAGGACCCAATGGTTAGCATGAGCTAGTTATCCTCCACTAGTACATGCAGTAACTACACCATCTTGTTTTAAAATGTATTTCAGAATTAGCCATGTATTCTAAAGATATTTGTGGGAAATGGATATTTTTGGCCTGAAGTGATTTGGTTTAAGATCTGTGGTCCCATGAGCAAGATAACCAGGGCTCGTCACTAGTTTGTGTTTAAAGCCTTCTTATTTCTTTGTCTTAAGATGTCTGACCATCTTTGACACTAAGCTTCTAATCACAATATGACTTTTGAATTTTGAATACTACTGTTGGGTTTACAATCTCATCTTTCCTAGTCAGTCGTGATGAGAAACACAAACTGATATAGTCTTGCTGGTTGCTTCTCTCTGAAATAAGTGTGAGGAGATGAACGGCTCTTCAAGCGCTGGTCGACGTATCTGGAGTGGCTCATTCCTTTCAGAGCCTGATAGTGTCTCACTTTTGTTAAGAGCTCCTTCAGATGCTCTAGACACATTAGAGGAGGCATGAGAGGATTAAAGGATAGTTCTGTAAGACAAGGAAATGAGGTTGTAAATTGACATTTTTCATCTTTAAATGATTTCCTCTTTCTTTCTTTCTTTCTTTCTTTCTTTCTCCAGCTCAATGCGGCAGCTGTTACTCTTTCTCCAGTATGGGAATGCTTGAAGCTCGAGTCCGAATCCAGACAAACAACACTCAGCAGCCGGTGTTCAGTCCACAGCAAGTGGTGTCCTGCTCCCAGTATTCTCAAGGTAAAAGCACGTGTTGCTGCACTGAGGCAGTGTTTAATGTGAGCAGTATCTGTGCTGAACTTCACAGGGCCTGTCTGCGTATTAGCAGTTATAAAACCGTGACTGTTTGCTTTTCCAGTACCCTCAGGATTATGGTTACACAATCCAATTGAGATCAGAATGGGTTCTTTGCGTAAACGTTTGACTTTGGGTTCCTCTTTTTTTTTTTCTTCTTTTTTTCTCCTTGTAGGTTTTACAAGATTAAAAAGATTTATTTCTTTAGGGATGTAAAAATTTTATACTTATTTACATTATTCATTATTTAAGCTGTTGTTTTAAATATGTAAAGTTTCAGGATGAAATTCTCATTTTAATTGCATTTAAGTGAACTTGTCCTTTATAAAAATGTAATGGGAGGATGGATTGGGAGAGAAATGAAAGCATGTTAAAGGGATTGTTTTTTTTTTTTTAAATTGGCTATTGTTTTTAATAATAAAATGTATTAGTAATAGTGAAATTTTATTATATACAGTAGTTATATTATAAAATTGTTGCTACCAATGTTTTTTTTCTATAAATGCATGCTATTGTTTTTAATATGATGGCTTTTATTATTATTATTATTATGTTATGTGTTATATTCTAAAATTATTGCTACTAAAAAATAATTTTTATCATGAATTATTATTTTTTCTGATCTAAGATGCAAGTTATTCTGATCTAAGTCAGTTTACTTTTTATACAATTGATTATAATACTATTGTTTTATATAAAATTATAATAAAATAATTATATAAATATTATAAATTATGTAAATTATGACAATTTTGTCATTCCAGTGTTATTTTTCGACATACTATTACTATATATTTTGTTTAATATTTTGTTTTATTTTTTTCCGCTTTATTGTTAGTAATTTTAGGGGTTTTTTTTGTTTTTAAATGTCTATATAGTTGTTGGTGTATTTCAGTTTTAGTTATTAGTTATTTAGTTATAAATACTTTTGGTTATTTTAGAAAATGAGAAGTGTTGCCTTAGGAACTAGCTAGTTTTACTATAATTATTTTATTTCAATTAACATTTATTTCAATTATTGAGTATTATTATTATTATTATTATTATTTATTTATTTGTTTTTTTTAGGTACTATAATAACCCTGGTTCTTCCCCTCTTTTTCCCCCCATAAATGTTGCAATTAATTGAATATTCTGAAGTTAACATTTTGGATTTTAGTCTGTATTTCAAATTGAAAATTTTTTTTTTTTTTGTCTTTTGTACAGGTTGTGATGGAGGTTTTCCATACCTGATTGGTAAATACATCCAGGACTTTGGTATTGTGGAGGAGGATTGTTTCCCATACACCGGGAAAGATTCTCCCTGCAAAGTACCTGAGAAATGCACAAGGTACTACGCCTCTGATTATCACTACGTGGGTGGGTTTTACGGCGGGTGCAGCGAGGCGGCCATGATGCTAGAGCTGGTCAAGAACGGCCCCATGGGCGTGGCCCTGGAGGTTTACCCAGATTTCATGAACTACAAGGAGGGCATCTACCATCACACCGGCCTCCGTGACTCCATCAATCCGTTTGAGCTGACGAATCACGCCGTGCTTTTGGTGGGGTATGGGAAGTGCCATAAGACCGGCGAGAAGTACTGGATCGTGAAGAACAGCTGGGGAACTGGGTGGGGTGAGAATGGGTTTTTCAGGATCCGTCGAGGAACAGATGAATGCGCCATTGAGAGCATTGCTGTAGCCGCTACACCAATCGCCCAACTTTAGAGAGTGTAGACGAATTGGTCAGTTGAAACGAGCACGGCCTGGAGAAGTATTTTGATAATCGCAATTCTGAAAAAGGGAAAACAGTGCTGTT